GGTGCAGGTTTGAAAAACTGGACACGTGTAGGATTCTGCCTTAGCAAATAAAATGCTGGCCTTCCCATCAAGAGAAATTTGGGGTTCAGTTTCTTGCTCAAGAATGCTTCGACATGTTAAAACAAATGGAGCTGGAGAACGAACCACCAACCTTGTGATTAATAGAAAACCTGTTCTACCTCCTGAGTCACAGTCGCAGCGTCTACTTTATCCCCAGTACGAACATTTTTTTTGTTAAGTTGAATAGATTGTTACACAAGGCAGAAAAAAAGTGCCATCATTCTAAAGGTAGCTGTCTACATTGGTACCCTTCGCTGCAAAGTATGCTTTTTGTTATTTCTTACATAGTGTACCTACACTGTGAGTTCTGTTTATCTTCCCATTGAAATGACACAGTTTCTGTGTCACTTTCTGCCTTGTTTACTGTGTTACAATGTACTCTACTATTTAAAAAAATAAATTGTACTGGGCACAAAGTGGAGGGTGCATACATAACAGTGATAGTTCCATTTAAATTTTTCTCCCTCAGAGGTTTAACAGAGATAAATAAAATCTAACCCTGCCCTTTTCACCTCTATCTTCATGCAAGAACAGTCTGGTTATGGGTGTGGGCAAACTGAATCCCACTGAGTCCCACTCTAATGTTTCATTAGTCAACTATGTTGTCCACAATACATCAAAGCAGAGCAGGAAATAAGCAAACCAGATCCATGCATGGGAATCAACAGTGATGCTGAATCAGTGCTGAACAAACACATATTTGAGTTTTTTTGGTAGAAATAGAGTTCAATTAAGACAAGAAGAAGAAGAAGTAATTTGTCTTGATTACCTGTCAGTAAAATAGTATAACTTTATACAGTGAAGTTAACTATATGTTTACCTTTTCTATTTCTAAGGTGTAAATAGTAGCAGGGCTCTGTATACATGTGGATTTGATTTATGGATTTGTACAGAGCACAAGATATATGTGTTACTTTGTGATACCTAGAGGGTCATATTTCTAGACAGAGACAAAACACTCAAACTTCTTTTTAACTTTGTTTCCAGCTGACGTGCCCTAGAAGTCCCACAGCAACAAGTGCAACATGATAAATTAAAATAAGTCTGACTGATGAGGTTTTGTGGTGGGGTGTGTTTGACTTAGTAAGCCGGTTATCCAGCAGAGTGAGGTGTTACAGGATGGGGTTCCCACAGCTGGCTGCCATCACTCTCCAGTCTATTGCTTCTCATTTTCCAGCTCCAGTTCTATCTCTCTGGGCTCTTATTCCTCTGTCTTTATATATAAAACTGTGAGTTGGGACAGGGTGGTCCCCCTCTTTCTCCATGGGATGCAAGCAGATGGGAGAAGCCAGAGGTGGATTGTTTGATTTGCTCATGTGTTAACTGCTGCTGTGCCGGATGGTTTCCTCGTGTGCCCCACACATGATCCGGAGCTGGTATCCAGGCCTGCAGCGAGCTCTCCCACACTGATTTCTCACCCTGCAGGGACCTGAAACACTGATAAAACAGAAATAAAAACACGAAAACACAATAAAGATCATGGTAGAAATGGCCGTGTGTTTCCAGTTTGTTCTGTGCGTGTTTTATTCCTCTGTGCCTTGCATATTTATTTATCAGGTGTTTCGACATCACAACAATGAGTTCAACCATTTGGAACAGATTGAAAGACCTTCAAAGATTCACTCCTTCTTCCGCAATGTGGAAAGATGCCATTTTCTAAAAATATCCTCCTTTAGGACGTCAGCTCACATTGTGTGCAGATGATGCAGCCGCTGTCCAAGATATGTCAGAACAGATGTTTGTCAATGTTTTAGCATTTTGATTTCACTCCAACCTGTTCTGGATGTACTGGGGAACTCTGCGTTAGAGGTGCGACATGTAGTGTTTTATGTTTTAAAAATGAGAGCCATATTTCTCATAAATCCTGCTTCCTGTCTCACTGGACATAACTATTTCTCCCTCCTCCCTGTTGTCACTTCAGTTGTTTTAAAGGACAAAATGAAGGATAAGTTAACATGCATTCAGGTACTATAGGAACATTATTATTGAGACTAAAATGAAGTTGGTTGTTGAAGAAATTCTACACCAATACTCTGTTTTTGAGTAGTAAATATGTCTTTTAGGCAAACAAAAAGCTTTCTCCAGGGAATGGCAGCCCTAGCTAGTTTGAATCTGCAGCATTTCAATGAATTTCAATGGCAGCAAAGAGTAAATAAAAAGAAAGAAAAAGGTGAAATGTCCATAAATATTTCTCAAACCACTTTTGCAGCATAATCCACAACATTGCATGTTACTTCCATGTCTCAACAGAAAAAGTTTGCTAATTAGCTATTTCATTTGGCCATTTATTGCCACTGGATTTATTTGTTTCTATGAACATTTTTTGATACATTTACATTTGTGGTTTGTATGTTTTTGCAACAACCAATTGACAAAATAACTCATTTATTATTGACTTCCAAAATATGACCAATTACTGGTATGATTGCCACCGATGTGGTTAGTTTGGTTTGGTTAGGCCCAAAAACAACTTGGTTACAGGCATAATGAGTAGGATTTGTCAGTTGCTATTTGTAAACATGGTCAAAACTTTATACAGAAGTTGCTTTGTTCTGGTAAAAATATATTAAATTTCTTTGGTGGTTAAGATGAAGAATTATATTCTTATTTATTCTTATTCTTATTTGTTTAGTATTCATGGTCATTTATTTATTACGCAAATGTTTGTGTTGCCTAGGGGTAAAAGTGTGGTATTTTGTAAATTGTGGGGGTTGTTTAATCAATGGGTCACATGACTGATCACCACCCTGATGAAGGCAAGCTAGCCAAAAAATGTTCTCAACGATAATAAAGTTGTGTAACCATTTTTTAAATTAAGGAGATGGGATGTGAACAGCAGCTTCTACTTAAGTTCGTCAACCCGTCCTCTTATCAGAGGTTTTGTTATTGCAACATTATGCTACTTCCGTTTTTGCACAACCAGAACACGGATTATTGATGTTGGTTTTATGGAGAGGACAGTCTATTTTTTTTTTTTTTTTTGCTTTGATGTAAGCTGGGTACAGCTGCTGTCCTCTACGAAGAGCCAAAAAAAGCAGAAAAATTTTTTCCGTGCCACCATTGAAACCTATGCTGGGGCTTAGTATTTGACACTCAGAAGGTTTCTTTAAAACATGGCTTCCTGTTTTTCTGTCTACAGGCTGTAAAACAACAGACACAATGTTGGGCCGTGTAAATTTCCGTGCTGCTGGCGCTGACAGAGGCTATCAACTCTCTTAGCAATATTTTGATTAGTTAGAAGTAACTCTAATAATATCTTGGACTGAATGTAGAAATAATTTATTGATTTTAAATTGCTAATAAAAGTGTCTGTGAGCGACAGAACGGCAACACAGACATTAATCGTCTTATAGCTGAAGGTGACTGTGCGTGTATCTTTATGAGCCGGTGACGTAGTCGTGTTTGAGTTTTATCGCCCGAGCGTATTTTAATATGTCTTTGCTTTTCCTACAGTGGGCATGTCTGTTCGCTTTTATCTTAAGACTTCTTTTTTTTCTGCCATTTCAGCTGACTCACAGTCTTGATTAATCTTGACAGAGGGAAAAACGTAGTTTGATTAGTGTCTCCATATACGTGCTCCCTGCTGATCAAATTAAAATTCTGCAGTCTATCTGTCAACCCCATCTCAGTCAAGTTTTCCGCATTCAGGGCTTGATATAGAAACCACTCAAGGAGGGAAAGAAACTGTACAGAAACATTTCACACTGATATTTTTGTTTTGCTTTTCCAGGCGCACTTTCTTTCTGAAATTGGTCGAGTAAAAACTGTAAATACCGTTGTTAAGACTGTGTTGTTTTTGCAGAAACAGAATTGCAGCAACTACAGACATCTGTACTGCATTTGGTGACTTGCCTCATCTCACGTCCTCCTCTTATGTCCTTTTGGTTTCTGTGGAGGATTTATCACTGAGGATTCATCTCTGACACGTAGCAGGAAGAAAACCCTGTTGCACTCCAGAATGTTTGAGTGGTGATAAGACTGCTGGGAACCACACTCCAGGTCCAATGGACACAAACATATGGTCCTGCTTTTTGACTGTGGTTTGGCTGCCAGTCTGCCACTCCATACTTTATGGTTTCAGCATTTTATTTTCATTTGCTTGAGGTCATTTTCACAAATGCTCTTGGGTGTTTTGTAAAAAGGGGGGGGATACTGTGCACTTCATAATCCTATATAACAGCAAGTCTGTGTAATGTATTGTGGACATTTCCTCAGGAGATTTTGAGGTCCATACGGTCAACTTTGGGAATAATTTGAATAATTTCCAATGTTTCTATATCGGAGTACAAACTCACTGAGGTTTCTCCAACCCTTTCATGATGTCAACATGCTTTTCAATCCTAAATCCAGTATGAAAATAAAGGACTTTTTTAGTTCGACATTTTCAGAAATGTTCTTATTCGCCTTCTTGCTGAGAGTTTGATGAGAAGATCAATACCACTCTTATGTCTGTTTAGTAGATATAAAGCTACTGCCAGCTGCTTGTTATCTTAGCTTAGCATAGAGACTGGAATCAGCTAGCCTGGTTCTGCCCAAAGGAAACAAAATCAGCCCCCAAAATTATTGTTTGTTTAATCCATACAAAAACAACATGTGGTTGTACGGGGAGAGGGGGATTATATGTCAGATTATTTATTATCTTTTCATCACCTTTAAATTGCCAGATAACAAGCAGAGACTCCAGGAAGTCATTGGTCCTGGCCAAGAAATAGTCTGGCACAAGATGCCTGTAAAACAGCAAATAGTTGATTTTACTCTTTAGTTTTTGTAGGCATTAAAAATAAAGCTATAATGTGTTAATTAGAGGTGTTGGTATGTGTGTCCCCATTTCCATAATCTTAAACATGTTTCCCAAAATGGGGAGCTATTCCTTGAACACATTAAACGTCAGATATGTCCGTAAATGTAAACATAGCCAGTTTAGCTACAAAGACACACAATGCAATGACATCCCTGTTTATTGTATTATAGATGCTCATTTCATTTGCACACATTTTTTTTTTTTTTTTTTTTTTTACATTTTATAGTGTATTTTTGTATCTTGTATCAACTCTAAGAAATTCACATTTACACAATGCATTTTACATTAGTAGGTAAGTACAGGTGACATTCAGCATTTTCGGGAGCAGGTCCTGACCTATCTGTATCAAGTTTGTAATAATATCACAGAGAATCACAGTGAACCCCCCTATAGATTTCATGTTACGGCATATTACATGTCCCGTCGCCTCTGAAATGGAGGTACACAATGAAACTTACTGTACATGCAAAACCTCTGCACAGTAAAGCTGATCTCTATCAACTAATAGCATATGTGAGTTTGGAGGAGAAGTCTTAGGTGACATGTATATGTTTTTGTAATGCTACATGACCCTACTAGTTGCCAGTATTTATAGCATGTTAACACACAGTGTAGGTTCATTGGTAACCTATTTGTACTGTAAGTCTCTCTATTTTAGTGCCAGGTTTATACAGTTTGCTTGAGTCTCCAAGGTTCATCGATAGCTCTGACTTCTGTTTACTAAAAACCTTCATTAGCTCTCAAAATATAAAAGAAATGCACATAAAATCATAAAATAAGTGGAAAAACTGCAAAAAAATAGAGTCAAACATCTGAACTTAAAGACACCTGACACTGTATACAGGCACTTGAACTGTGGTACACTCTTTGAGTGCATTCATATAACATCTAATAAGTGCTACAAAATAACATATCAGTTAGAAAAAATACTGATTTCAAAAGTGTAATACTATTTATAATATAAACCAACAGGAAAATGTAAAGACAAAAACAATTTACGACAAACAGAATGAGGGGAAATTTAAACCTTATCCTTGAATGTGTCTTGCATATTTCTGTTATATTCGGGTTGTACATTCTTACATTGTGTGTCTCACATCACAAGCTTCTAGGGAGAAAGAGAATAAGTCGGTTCAGGGTAGATGAGTGCACTGCTGGAGGGCTGATTGGGCCTCAGGGGGAGACAGAGTCGAGGACTATGTTTTTTTTTTTCCTTTAAATCAACACTCTGGTCACTCATACTGTAGCAGCGTCTGCTTTAATGTCACTGCCACAGCTAGGATCAGGATGATTCATGCCGGCTCTCTCAATAGAGGAGTGAATCATACACTGTTGCTCTGTGTGTGTGTGTGTGTGTGTGTGTGTGTGTGTGTGTGTGTGGTCACATGTCCACATCGCATGCCCACATCAACTGAGGAGCTGTGAGCAAAAATACAGCAGCATTTTATTTGTTTCCATTCATAACGCTGCCATGATACAGGATGAATCACAAGTGATGATACCAGAAAGTTTAATTGTCTTGCGATGTTGGTGACCATGTGACCGATCCACGCAGCATCACACAGGATATAATGACTCACTTTCTCTGTCTGCCTGACATTTCTTATCTATCTTTTGCGCACTAAACTCAACAGTCTCTGCTAACAAGTAAACACATCTTATTTCTCCAGTAAAGTAATAGGTTTTACACTTCTTGGCTTTATTTGCAGGAGTTACACAAGAAGATTGATACCACTTGTCCAGGGATTATAGTCCAACCTGTAAAAACCCCAATGTGTTGTGTCGTGCTGCTGGCAGTAGCATTATATCTACTGTACAGACATGAGTGTGGTATTGATCTTCTCATCTAAGTCTCTGCAAGAAGTGATAAATGTATTTTCCCAAACTGTCTAACTATTTCTTTTAAATCCCCCAGTGTCTGAATCATGTTGGAATTAGTTAATATGCATATCAACCCGTATCTTTCTACATTTTCTTTTTTCAACAGAACAGCTGCTTTATATCTGTACCTGTCTACCTACCTACTCTATCATACATCTACAGATTGTTTACAGAAATCCTCTACAGATCTCTTGATACTTTTTAGTCATACCACAACAAGAGGGACCCTGAGAAAGTACGTGCCCCTGTAGGAATGAATACTAAAGCAGTGCAGTCAAGCTCAGCTCCGATATACTTCTTTTTCAAGATATCTATGTCGACTGCTTTTACAGTTACTGCAAGCAGCAGGGGACAAACATAAAAGTGGTCCTGTGTGATAAAGAGGTGCCACCCAGCCTTGCTGCTAAGTGCTTTTATATCACCATGGCGATATAGTAAATGTCAGTGGCCTCGGACTTTGATAAGGGGTCTGTAATGTCATGTTGAGGATTCAAAGAAAGCCATGTCGCCCCTCTGTCGTCCGCAGCATTAATCCCGATGAGAAGTGGCTGAGCCAAGCGGAGTAGAGGGTAAATGAAGCTAATACCCTGAGGTAATTACTACCTGCCTGTCAGGACATCTCTCTAATGGGCCCAGTGTTGACGTGAGCGCCAACGCTTGTACATTAGCGCCTCAACCCTGTTCATCAGGCTCTATCACGCAGACAGAGCTGCATGCAAGACTGTGAGAGTGTGTGGAGGATGGCGGTGTCAGTCAGCTGAGGATAGTGAAAAAACCTTGCCTCTGAGGGGTATCCCAATTTTCCACTCAGCAAGTGTAAAGAATGACAGATGGGATTCCTTTCCACAAATTTGTTCTGTACAAAATTCATTTAAGCATCTGTTTAATGAGCAGCTCAGTATACTGGGTCACTGATGACGCCACAGCTCCTTTTTTGCTCATCAGAAGGCTTCGCTTCCCCTAAGACATGTCAGCTCATCACAGTGAGTCAGCAGAGCTCCACAGTCTAAAGATGTTTCTCTCATGTTGCACATCCAGGCTCCATAGAGGACCGTGGAGGCACCCTGCTGAATCAGCCATGTAACTCAAGCCACAAAATGAAAGTAATGCACCACAAACAGGAGACAAACATTTGGGTGTGTTACATTATAAGCATGAAATTACTGAAACACAATCCCTGGAGGCGCTGTGAAGGGGTCTATGTGAGCGAGGGGATGGAGACTGCAGAGTACAGGAAGAAAAATAGTTGATTACCGAACGGGCTACACAGCAATTGACCTTTCTTCCCAAATATGAGTCACTTGCATCAGTCGGTGCAGCTAGTCTCAAACAATGACGCACATTTTATAAGACAACATGCCATGAAATGTTTCTGTGATTAAATGATAAAAGAACAAGAAACTTCAGATGAAGTTGGGAGTGACTCACGGCTCCCCAGCTGCTTTTTGTATCGCTGATGACGGCGGGGGTCTAATAGAGTGAATCCTACAGAGAGAGACAAAGGATTACCGAGAGTGGGACGCCACAGAGGAAGATGTGAGAGTAGAAAGGTCTCTTTGATGCGCGAGGAAAAAGAAAGTGGAGATAATGGAGAACCTCGCTGCCTATTTACCTTTCAGGCACATACGTTTAATGGCTAGTGATTGTGGAATTAGAGGGAAAATGGAAAGCTTAGAAAGGGGCAGAGGATACTAAGTTGGCAGTTAGTGAGAATTATGTCAATATTAGATACTGGAATAGTCAGTTAATATGAGATGCACTGGCATATATCTAGGATTATGTATCTGCAGTGACATTGGTACAAATAGTGGTTGATATTGCCATAGAGGTCGTGTCCAGGCACACTGATAGAGTTGGACTCTATATGCGGGGATGAAGAGTCAAACTGTGGCCCAAAGGTGCTGGGAGGTCCATACAAGTCAAGTCTTTGCTCTGTGGCCACTTCACATATGAATCTGAGTCAGTTTTACATTCCCATGTGGCCCCCCTGCTTTCTTCTTGGTCCACGGTTCAAGTCCCCACTCTACTCTCCCTGCCTTCAGCTGTGATGCCTCCTCTTCTTCCTCCTCCTCTGCCTCAGACTTCAGGGGGAGGCGTGTCGAGCTGGGGACCGCCATCCACCCTCACCACTGAGAGAGATAGTGAAAAGAAATATGTCAGGCTCTGATTTGTGGTGATATCAGCGGTGGTTCATTCACACAATTATGCATATTCTCATTTGTACCAACACAGTCTTTTGTGTTTCCCACTGAGCAGCTCCTTATTTAGTGAGAGGGAGGTCGTTTGAGTGCACTTTGATTAGTTTCTGATTAATAGGCGAACGTTTCATTTAGCCCACAAATAACTTTCAATCCACCAAAAAACATAAAAACATTCTTTAAGTCCTTCTGCATGGGAAAAACTCATGCCCAAAGCCCATGGTAATCACACTTTTCCCTGCAGGGGGCCCTGTGGTGTCACTCACTCATCCGAACCTGTTAAACTGGAGTCATTAGCCGGATGAGGATGGGAGACAAATGCTCTCTTTTCCCACAAACCTCTTAACCTGTTGTCAATTGAGGGAAGCCATGGAAACGCCTCGGGAATGCAGAGGCGTTCCTGAGAGGACCCCCGAGTCCGGTGGGTGTATTCTCGTCTTTATAAATGCATCCTTGTGCCAGGGAAGTGTAGTACAAGAGGGTTTATTTTAAAGCTTCAGAAGAGGGGGATTCTTTTGTTCACTTATAACGTCATACCCTCCCTCTGTTTTCATTCCTTTTCCATTCCTAAAAACATCTTTTTCACATACTTTACTGTTCGAAAATACACTTGAATTGCCATACTCCGCCAATCTGCTCGCTGTTTCTATCCAAATTGATTCTGTCCAGGGACAGCCACAGTCCATAGCTCTCCACTCTCTTCCTTCCTGTTTAAACAGACACTCTACAGGCAGCATCAGTGACAAAGAGCAGAGATGCTTGCCAGTGCAAAGCCATCTGTAACCCAGGCATATACACAGTGGCTTCCACCTGTACTTCCACTTCAGCTGTTTCTGAACTGGCATTGCATCTCCTTTTGAAACGTTGATAATAATGGCTACATGGCTGTTCAATGTTTTATTGACCTCATTCCAAGAATGAGTGCAAGCTGTCTTTCGCTGTCCCGAAATGTGAATTGAATCGCAGCAAAGCTTTCTTACCGACTTCTTCTTCTTTCTTTTTTAATCAGCACATTCAGGCAATCCTGATTAGACCCTAAGCCTCAATAAAGCTTTCAAGTTTGCTGATTGGGATTCAATTTGAGATGGCTTCATGGCAATCACAAGAACTCCCGGGGAAAATTTAAGAGACATTGGGATTGTTTTACTAATTTGAAAAATATATTACTTGTTTCTCATATTTCTACTTTACTTATCACTCCCTGTAGGAAGTGCAGAACTTATTTTATTACTTTTCCGTTTAAACCCCAAATTCCATGGGCAGATAATGAGTCAACGGACCCCTGGGCACAGACACAAAAAGGTCTATCTAGCTATCTATCTAACAGTGATTTCACATACTTCCCTGCACCAATTGGCATTAAACAACATTTAACTCAGACTCTGATGACAGTCAAATCTGATCAAATCACATCCACTCAACCCTGATGAAGCACATTGCAAGCAGAATTTATGAGTGAAGATTTTAAGTCAAATTTTTAAGGACTTCTGGTTTTTGTTGTAAACAGATCCTGAACTTCAGTAGTTTAGTAGTAGATAGCCGGAATAATCTTACCCTGCCACAGCAGATCAACACTAACACGCCTCTCCACGGGTAACATACAAGGGAATTAATGGACGACGTGGAGAAAGGTCCGAGGTGAACATGAATGTTGTTACAGTCGCATTTCTAGTATTGATGAAATGTGAAAAATTGAAAACGAGAGGGTAAAGAATTTGGAGCTGTCTATGGGTGCTTCAAAGGCCTATCCAAAGGGTCTTTATTTGAGTATAAAATTGAAGGTGATTTAAAGCTATTCCTCAAACAAAGTGATGAAGTGATCTCTCTTTCCACCATCTAAAACCATTTTGACCAGCTGAATTTACTTCAAGCTGACTGGCTGTTGAAAGCAGGTAATGCCATCAGCCATATTGAGTCGAGCTAAGATGGAACTTTTTCCTGCAACTGTTAAGTCATATTGTGAATCTTTGGTGTAAATGAACAAGGGAAACTGACACTGTCTGAGTAATGTTGTTGTCATCCAACAATGGTGGGAATATTTCCACCCTGAGAAGTTTTATCATGACTCTCTAATGTGAGAGAATGACACCAAATTATGAGTCATCCCTCCTCTTATTGAATTTGCATTTGCATTTGTAATTCCGTTATGCATTTAAGCTACAACATTATTATTTTAACTTTCCACTGGATGATGTTACACACTGAAGAATGTACTGTAGAATTGAGTTCCAGCAGGTCCGTCAGGGTCTCTCAAGAATCACAAACATTCAGCAAAACTAGACTGCAACCCCTTGACAGTTGCTGATTGTAGTGTTATAATAAGGACCTCCCTCAGGGTTTTCAATGAGGTTTTCAGATGAAGAACTAAATATTTTACTGTATTCTGATAAATATCAATCTGTGTTACTTATATTCAGGACTGTACGCATGCTGCTGTATGAATTTCAATAGTTTTTTTTCTGACTGACATTTGCCTTGACTCCATTTTGTGTAGACTAGGGACTAGGGAGGTCAAACACAGGACAAGGATGCATGGATGGGTGATGTGAGTGAGGGCTTAGAGGGCTTGTTTAAATTTTAAACACATTCAATATGCACAATTCAGAGGGGGGAAGCAGGCAGCAGAAGAGATTGTGGGGGGCAGGGTGGGGTGCTGCACAGATAGACGGTTCTTTTTAATGGAGATGAGTAGACAGAAATGAGGCCGAGCACCCTTCATATAGGAGCTCTCACCCCTCAGCAGTGACTCATGCAGGGTATACCCTTTCTGAATGTTGTCACTGAAAACAAAAGACATTTTCATTGCTCTATTTTGCTTTTTAAAAGGCTTATTTGACTTGTTTCAGCTGGAGGTGTTCCCATTATTTTAGCCGGCAGTAAAACATGGTTCGTTGGAAAAAGGAAACCCCCTGAGATTATCATGGATTTATTGTGCATATTCTCACCCTCTCATGTATTTTAACACACCCACTTGGTTAGTAAAGAACCAACGACCCCCAGCACGAGAGCATTTGCTGCCTCTTTAATGGCTTCCGCGCCCACAGACGGTAATAATGCCAATTAGCAGGTGCTAAACGCTGATGCTGGATCAGATTTTGAAAGGCAGTAAGACCAGGCCTGGATCTCATCTCATAACACCTGCTAATGAGCCAATCAGTTAAATACGCGAAAAGGGTTAACGGGGCAGTCATCTTCTCAATGAACCAATCCCGAGCTGTTCCTCCAAAAGAAATTCCTTCTTTTCTTCGACATGCAGCAGACTTTGCATTTGTTGAGTGGAAGAATGGAAAGGGGGACTCAAACGAAACACAAAAACAAAATAAGCTTTTCCCAAGCCTCATTAGAATGTAATGGGTATCCCAAAGAAGGCACAGTGGTGGGGATTGTTTGAGGGAGGATTTGAGTGTTGTTTGGCTTGTTAGCACATTATTATCGCTGTATAACCATTTTTTAGGCCTTACTATAATTCACAATAAAAATAGGAAGGAAACATATTAGCTTCTTAGCAAGAAAGTCAGGGAGCGAAGCATGAATGACTGAAGGAATAACAAGATCATGACTGAACTTGAGACTTCTTCTTCAGGTAAAAAGCCTCTCTGGTTTATGAGTATAGATCGAGTGAGAATGCAGGTTTCATCTCTTTAATGTAAGTGCTATTTGAGTATTGAGGGAAGGCAGACTGCTCTACAGAGGTCACATCTCTTTCCCGCAGCACTTGCTTTTATTCTTCAAGCTGTTTAAAGGTTATCCTCTTTTTGCAGCCACTCTGCACAGATTCCCAACTATGCACCTCATTTATTTGTATAAGTGCCCAGTGTTGCATCACATACGTTGATTACTAAAAGATTTAAAGAATATATAATTGGATGGAGAGAGTGGACAGCACATTCAAAGGGATGCTAATATGTCTGTAATTCAATTTCTTTACTTTTTGTTGAAGTTGCTACAGTATAAAGGATGATGCTGTTGATGTTTTTTATGTTTCTAATTGTCTACAAATCCTATAAAATTACCAAAACCTGATATCGCTTATTTCTCGGTGCTATAGACCTTCATTGTTGTCTAAAAACAATCAATCCCACATGCGCTTTCCTGCTGCCATAAAAACTCATTAGAGCAACAACTGTGTATTAGTCTGCGGCTGAAAATAGTCCCCCAACAAATGCATTATCTGCTCCGATTTGGTTAATGTTTGCTAAAAACTACAATACTCTGCTGTTTTATGTAAATAGCTAACCTTTTTAAAAATTAAACTATATATTTGTGACCAGTTATGAACACATTGTTGGTTTTGGTGTTTTCATGGGATTTGTTGACAATAAAAAACATTTTAAAAAAAAGTCTGATTGGGAAATTGTGCATAATACATATTTTTTTAGTTTTCTTAATCCATTTTCATGAAGCAATTAACTGTAAAAAACAATAAAACAAAACATTGTTTCTCCCTCTCTCAATGCACTGCACTGAAAGAAGTAAATTAAGCGCATGGTAAATTGCTTTATAATAGATCAGTAAAGTGCATAATGTTGGTTTTATCCCTCCAAGCCAGACATGATCTACTGAGTTAATCTCATGAAACCTTTTAGATTTTGTCTGGCTTGCAAGTCTGCGTGGCAAAATCTGTCCTACAGACATACACCTAAAATACTTCACGAGTTAAAGAGAGACCAATATAGATATAGAGGAGTAGTAAGGGTAGTAAAGGCAAATATAGATCAAACATATGCAGTTACATACTTTCCTTACACATTACAATTCTTATACCATATTATTTCTGCGTCAAACGTCTGTCAGCACTGGATATTTTAGCCTCATTTTGATTATATACCTAAACATTTGTGATTAGGAAGCATACAGCCACTTCAATACATAAAGCATTCAAGCAAAATCTGTTGAATGTTTATTATGCGTTCACATACATTCCTGGAGTCGAATATATCATGAGTGCATATAAGACTTGGCTTCACCTATGTGCTCTTGGCAGCTAGGTGTCCTGCTCCTGGATGATATATTGTTTTTGATCTTATTCCCCAGGAATGTGTCTTTGCTCTGAGGGAAAGGCTTGCACAATGCCGGAAAACCCCTACACATGTTAAAGATCTAAGCAGAATACCTTGATGTAATCAACAGTGACTTTCTCTGGCAGCTAGAATACCACGGTGTGAGATAGGAATGTATTCAGTCTTGGATGAGTGCTGTATGATTATAATTATTGTACATATTAGATGTAAATATGTTTACACACCTCAGGGTGTCTGGTCAATTGATGCTTGGACTGGGCAATATGACTGAAATCCATATCACAATATTGATTTTAACATTTTCCTTTATCAATATCCACTCAGTGGCCTTTTCATTAGGTACACCTGTACAATCTAATGTAATTCAACAGCCCTGCCATAACATCTATATATACAAGGTTAATAATGGTCAGTTTTTGCCCTTCACACATACATGAATGAGGGGGACAGAATATCAGAAACACCTCTTTATATAATGTAATCCAGTACAACACCATTACTAACAATTAGCTCCATGCTAAAGCATATAATTTAATTACAACCTCTATATCAGTCTGTGACATGATAGTTATTATGCCAGAACAGTTATATTAGATTGTATTAGACTGTACAGGTGCTCCTACAAAGTGGCCACTGAGTGTATATCAAAATATGGCAAATGCATTGCATCAGACAAAACTGATGTTTTCCAATCTGCTTGAAATCTGCAGAATTTTTAAAACAAAGCTAACGCAATACAACCGTACAACCACAATACACTACAACAATATTGGAGCCCAGATTACTGCCTTGGTTCCATCATAAAGAGTGAGTTTTAGGCCTACCTATCTGTTCCTGTGTGAGAGAGTGTGATGGCTGAGCCTGGACTTCAGCCTGAGCCTGCTGCTGCTGCTGCTGCTGCTGCTGCTGCTGCTGCTGCTGCTGCTGCTGTTCCTGCAGACTCTGACTGTCCACTGAGATGCCACTGTCGCTGTGCAGCTTCTCTCCCTCCGGTGTCACCATCTGGTTGTTTGTAGCCGCACGGTTATTAGCTGCCTGCTTGTTCTGTTTGCAGCTATTCCACCTGTGGAGAAGTGGCATGTCAAAGAAAGATCCACTCAATATTATACAGTTATGTGATATGTTATGTGAGTTTTAGATAGATGGATTTCACAACAGTATAAAGCAATAACTGCCAGCATTTTAAAGGTCCAGTGTGTAACATTTAGGAGGATCTATTAGCAGAAATGGAATATAATATTGATATTCATTGTTCAATCACCTGAACATAGGAATTGTTGTGTTTTTACTACCTTAGAATAAGCCATTTTTATCACCATGGACAATCATTTCATTTAAACTCCAGCAATTCCAGACAACATTACAAAAGATAGCATCAGCACCTTTGTCAAACACATCAGTTAACAGTTTGTCTTCATCTTAAAAGCATTTCATCTTGACATTAGTAGTAAAAACACGCTGTTTGAAAAATACAAACAAGTATGTTAGCAAAGAAGACAAACAGCCTTCTGATATCATGCTAGGACTATAAAATTCGATCATCACACAATATCATGTCTTTAGCCATTGAGAGCATATTAAGTATTTATATTTGACAAGATTCTTTATAATGTGTGAGCATTATAAAGTCTAGGTGGAGCTAATGTAGCAAGTACTGGTTAGTAGGTGGTCACGCAAGTATCTTAAATAATGGACCCACTGTTTTAGTAGCTGAATGAAATCAATAGTAGATGATTATAACTACATATGTGCCTAAGAATAGAATAGGAACTATAATAAGATACTCATAAACCATTTGGAAAGCATGGAAAAACTTGTTTAGAAGATGAAACACTCAAGAGTATGTGATTAAAATATTCATGAGGTAGTGAGTGGTACAGTACAGTTAACACCTCTAAGTGTTTACTTATAAAATATTGCGCGTTGAAGGTATTCACATAATTTGCAGTCTATTTATGCATGAAGATAAGTACACGAGGAGTACTAGCCAGATGTGTGCGTGACTGATAAATCTGGCACTTGAATTTCCCCTGGTCGGCACTTTTCATACAATCAATGCCTCTAATGAGCTTGTTTACTTGCTTCAAATGTGTTTTAGTGCAGGCTTGAATCTGTCTCTATGAGTGCTTGCATGTGTGGTTGTGTGTCCTCACTTATGTGTTTGTTTGTGTGTGACCTCTGTAATGCATTAAGTGTTGTGACCTCTTTTTTTTTTTTAGAAAAAGCTCATCGTGGTACATTTGAGTGATTCTCTTGAACTGGGTCAAAACCTCTTTAACTATAGCAGGCCTGAATATTTCACCAGCCACCTACTGCCATTTTTTAGCCCGAGGCAACATCTGTCACTGTCTCCAACACCAGACGTCCATTTCCATCACTGTTCACCTACTTTGTCTACAGTGTGACAGAGGTTGTGCTAATGTATTTAACCACAAAGCAGCTTTTTATCTAATTCTTTTCTACTAACTGACCTCTTAAAAACAATGTATGCGACCAGGCCGACAACCACAGCGGCCAGGATGGAGCAGTAGATAGGGATGAGGTTTTCGTTGAGCCCATGGCCGAGGAAGCGAGGAGATCCAGCACTGGATGTGGTCGTCTCTCCTCCTGGCAACTGGCTGTCGGAGGCATCAGGGAGAAAGTAATTGGTGAAGGATGGTGGAGACAGACCCATATCGGAGGTGGGAGCAAAATATGTTGGGAGGAGAGGATCTGTACAGGAGGAAAATGGAGAGAATGGAGCATGTATGAGAAACGAAACAAACTTATATACAACTAAGAGAAAAAACATCAATATATTTACCAAATGCCAGTTGTGAATAATATATTAACATGGTTGTGAACCAACAGATCAACATTGCCATCCACAGAGCCATTTTGCTAAAATTATGACGAGACACTTTTATATCTTATCTCTGAAAGCTTTTTTGCTGGGATGTAGTCACAAAGTCCCCAACCAGATGTCTGATACACTGCACACATGCGGCAGCTGTTTCTGCTAGACAGATGGGTTCTGGCTGAGTTGCTGTGTGCAGAAAGAAAAGGAATGTTTCTCAACTGGGGGGGGGGGGCAAATATCTGTCACCAACCAGCCCACCATACACCAGGCCTGGGCCCTGCACGCCAGGTCTCTTCTCACCACGTCCCCATCCTTATGATCTCTCCACATTGCATGACATTAAGGCCATATGGATCTATGTAGAACAAAGTCTGGGGCTTTAGGGAGGTCATCACTTTGAGTGTAGCCTTTGCTGAGGCCAGAGAGGCAGGAAGGCTCTGTGCTACTGGATGGGTCTGGTTTCTATCATAGCAAAGCCTTGAAGGAAGAGTCATTTTCATAAATTGTCCTATTTCCTCTTTCTTTGTAAGCTCCATTAATGATCAGCTGTGGTTCCCCATCTTGCAGCGGCACCATGTCCACTCTGATGGGCACGACATGTCCTGAAAACACTGTTTATTCTTCAGATGTCCCCTACAGCCCTGTCACATTATGCTTCTGTTTGGAAAAGCACTGTAAGTAATACTGTAGTGATTCTGTCAGATGGTAGAAAAGCTTAGAGAGTTGCCTGCAAATTATTCCCTCCCTCAGGGTACGGTACAGCAGGCCGAGGAGAGGGCCTGTCCAGCCAAAACGAAAACTCCTCTGAGCTCAGCAGCCTGGTGGGGACGGAGAATGTGCAGCCTGGTTCAGATCTGAGCCTGTAATTCCCAGCAGAACCTCAGGCTGCTCCTCATTAGCTTCATACTGGCGCTCACAGGATTAACCCATGGAGACCCCTGAGGCTTCCTTCAAGGCCAAAGACTGGGACGCTCTATCCAATATACTTTAGGGGTCGTCCTACTTTACAATTGTTCTGTTTTTGAGGGGATATAACCCTAAAGTATGATGGACAAACCCAATACAGCGATTACAGTGAGTAAATCCGATTGCTAACTGGTTGCCAAGTATTGGAACTTGATTCAGCTTTCACTGAATCATATTTTTAATACTCACCAAGAACTCACACACCTACTACATGTATTCATTTTTTTCAATGTAGTCCAACAGCGTATTTAAAAAAGTAGATACACATTTACTGTACATACATTAATTAGTGAAAGTTTAAAAACTTACATATGTTCAAGTTTTCTCATTTATCTCCACTGATCTAGGCCAGCAACACAGATATTTCACATTTTATTCATCCAGCATTTGAGATATCCACCTCTTTTTGCCCCTAATTCACCCAATTCACTGTAGTTTGCAAACCTTAATAATTCAACAGCAGTGTGTCTCTTCATGTCCTGGTTACTCTGCATAATCCACAGACCTCACTATCTGTCACAGTTTTCATTGGAGCTACTTCAAACTGAAGAAATACTATTTACAGTAAAACTGAAGTAGAAGTAGTGTGTTCTGTGGATTATACAGAGTCATGGTGGACATTGTTTTTGCAAAAACATTTTTCCTTCGCCTCCATTCTATCGGGGTGACAGCATCAATTTGGGCGACAGAGATCTCAAAACCTGAATAAATAAACCCTAAACCACTACCAAAACCAGTTATCATTACATTTAAAAGCTGTCATCTCATTCTTGTACATGATGATATTCACCTCGGACGCAAACCGAGAATGAATCTCCCGTTATCATATAACTGTTGGCCAACCTGAATTCTCCCAAAAATGTAGTATATTCATTTAAATGAAGGACTCATCGAACCAATCAGGGACTAGTGATGTGGTTTGATGACTATAAGAAAAAAAAAAAGAAATTCAGTGGACCATCACCCCCAAATGCTGCCCACACATATTCTCTTTTCACTGACATGGCAGATAGTCAAGTTTCTCCACATTGATCTGTTGCATAATTTACAAACGGTTACTCCCTCTAACAGTCCGATGGGACCTTGATGGGCAAGTTATGTGGACACACTAGAAAAACTTCTGTTGGTCGTTACGAGTGTGCGTTGGTATGTCTGTCTGCATGGTGATGACGGGGCATTCCTGCCTCCCGCAGGGGGGATTGGTTTACTGAAATGGTAGAAAATATCTTTCATGGACACAAAAATACAGCACATGTGCGTGCCATACTTAGAAACACAGATATAATGCAGAGGTCTATTTAAAGCGGTGTTATTGATTTGCATCAGTCTAAAAGGAGGGAGCGTTCGGAGGAGTGGAACACGGGTGTCTGGATTACAAGCATTTCTTGACCTTTCCTGGGATGTAGTCAGGTTACCTCAGCCCTGCCATACATCATCCAGCTAATGCAGGGCTGGCTAATGGTATTAGCAATGCAACACGAGCTCGCAAATACAATAAATTGTGAATGGAAGGCGTGAAAATGAGTGAAAGTGTGCAGACGGTATAGGCCTTATATACACTTCGTCAAAGAAGCTACAATCCTTACAGCCTTTCCTTTACCAATCTGAGCTATCAGTCATCCTGCACTACTGTGAGTGTCTTGCTTTGGTGCAGTGAATGTTCTCTCCATGCAGATGTATACATGCATCAGTTGCACCTCAGGACTCACTGTAAATTGTCTTTCTCATTCTGAGCCAAAATGACAGCTCTCCTGGGAGTCTGCTTCACATAACACTGACTCGACACACGCGGCTGCAGCTTAAGCACAGTGTACTACATCTTTATTGTAACTCCCCCACTTTCACTCTATTTCTCTGGGCTAATGCAGAAAACACGTCTGGCTGTAGACCAAAGGATAAACCTGGGGCTCCAGAGGCTGCATACCTCAGTTGGAACAGAATAGGAGCTTAAAGGCGGCGGTGGAGCTTTAACAATTTCATTTTGGCTTCAGTGGGTTTAAAACACTCATGAAACAAAATAAAACTAGCCCGGGATTTTATGAGCGTGGGGCTGTGTGTGCAGGGAGATGTGTTTATTAGTGGGGTGTGGACGAGAGGGGGAGAAAAAAAGATTTAATTTTTATGAGCCATTGAGGTCTTTATGGTGAAGTTAACCCCAGGGTCTTGTGCGGAGGTTGATGTCTTGACTGCTGCCAGTTCAGGGTGGAGATGAGCAACTATCAGGCGAAGCACATGTACAATGACCCCTTTATCAGCCGCCAAACACTCTCCCTCTGTCTCAGCTCAGCCTCTATCTCAATCTTCCTCTGTGTTGGTCGCCTGGCCTGCACACATCCATCAAACACACACGTACTACAAATTATCCAAGTGAGCGCTCTGTCTTCTGTTAGGGAGGGTTAATAGGGAGAGCGGAGGGGAGGGCAGACAGAGAGGCAGAGTGTTAGGAGGGAGTGAGGAGGGGGTGCAGATGAACAGAGAAGCTGCTGTAAAGTGCTCTGATTAGCAGGAGTAATTATACTGCAGCGGTGAAGGCACTGAATGCACACTGGCCACCTTCCACCACTCCGCTAGCTCAGCCACTCGAGGGCTACTGTGGGAAGAGATAGAGAGAGCAAATGAAGAGAGGACTGGGGAGAGGAGGAGAGAGAGTGATGACTGAAGTAATAAAGAGAAAAGAAGTCTGTCTCTATCTGTTTTTTTAATCTTTCCCTCTCCTCGTTCTCGAGGACAAACACTCCAACAGACGCTCAACACTTCACGTTTAATGCAAATCTTCCCAACTGGAGATTGAACAGCACCTTTTTGGAAAAGCTCTACCGAGGCCAAGCGGACAGAGACCTTCAATAAAAGATGCAGGAGGTGTTTTCAATTTCAGATCATAGAAGTTCACACATGTGCGGTGTCCGGAGTTTAATGAAAAATGTCGAAGTAAAGCGCACTTGGCAGGGGGACATGCATGCATGTGCCGTGTTAGCCTGCTATCAGCTGTATTGATTTTGGATGCTCATAAGGAGTGTTTGTGTGTCTGAAGCTGAAGAGGACTAAGCTAGTGCGTGTGTGTGTGTGTGTGTGTGTGTGTGTGTGTGTGTGTGTGTGTGTGTGTCCTGCAGTCGAGTGTGGGTGCTCATAGAGGTCATTCAGCGAAACCTGAGCATGAGCAGAAGAAATCCCAGGACTCATATCGACCCATCAGCATAGAATACCAGCACAGCACATATGCTGCAGCTCTCTCTGTCTGTTTTCATCTCTATTTCTTTCTCACCCTCTTTCTGTCTCTGTCATTGTATCATGTAATTGACACTTAGTGACAGCTGGATATGAACTAGGGATTTAGGGATTTGAAAATACCCCCAATCATATCTTTGTTTACCACGTGCCTGAGAGAGCGAATGACAGCAGGATAGGAATTAAAAATGATTTCCTCACATAAAAACAGGATGAGAATTCCTGCGAGGCAGCTTCCTGTTTGCTGCAAAAAACATATCTGTATGCAAAGTCATCAAAGACCACCATGCAGGGCCTGGAAACATCATAACCACCACATGTGACTACAACCACTACCCTTAGGCCCATTGGTGCTATATGACAGGGCTCTCCTTTCAAACGGACGTCCCACAAGGTCACTTATCGTGCCATCTCCACTGCTACATAACTATTGCTCAGGACAAGGCAGGTCAAAGGTCAGACCATCAGCATGGGTGGGCGCTAAATGGTCAGGAAAAGGCTGTATTGTGACCTACTGTACATCAGATATGGGTAGAATACAGTAGATGTTCTGGGTGTTTTAGGGGGCATAGGGTGCAGTTTGTTCTGATGGCTGTCACGATAAGGCGTTAAGTCTTGGTCAGATATACGTGGAATATGGAAAACTAGCATCTCAGCATGTGGAATTTGCTATGCACACTTGTTTCCAGGACTGCAATCTTTTTCAAACTTCAGACTTGTTGCTTGATTAGGGAAATTTGAAGACTGCAGTTGTTTTTTCATCATGTCCTTGTTTAACTCTGCATGATAAACAAAAATCCACAAGGCTGAACTTTGATTTTAGCATGAGCTGGCACAGATGTGGACATTGCTTAGTGCAATAAACATTTCTTCCTGCTCAAATTTGAATAAAAATAAAAACATTTTTCCATTCTGCTCAATCATATAAAATTGTAAACAATGCTAAGAGTCTACAGCCATGCAAGCAGCTGTGAGGCTGTAAATAGGCACAGCAGTTCTATGAGCTAAATGCTAACATCAGCATGCTAATATCCTCACAGTGACACTGCTAACATGCTAATGTTTAGCAGGTGTATTGATTCACCATCTTATTTAACTTTTTCTTTTCTTGGCACAAACCAGAGAGTATAGCGGAGGCTGATCAGAATGTTATTATTTTGGTCATAAACCAAATTATTGGAAAAAATACTCATCTTGGTGCTTGATGAAAAGTTGGGATCACCAAATGTATTATATTTCATTATGTGCATGCCAGGAATGTGCGCAATCCATCCAATAGTTGTCAAGACATTTAACTCACAAATGTCAACCTCATGGTGGCTATTAAAGGAAAAGTGAGAGGATCGCCAGTGTCAGAGGAAGTCATCCTCTGGACCATGAATGTCCAAACAAAATGCCCTGGCTATTCATCCAATAAATGTTGAGACATTTCAGTGTGGACCAAACTGGTGTACTAACTAACAGACTGACACTACCATCATTAGAGCCACACAGCTAGGTAGAAGAACATTGCCTTTGTCCTGTTCCGTGCCATCTCGCGGGTAAATCCAGCAGATTTCTTGCAAAATTTGACCTGGTGGCACACAATTTAAAAATGCAGAGCAAAGCCAAGCAGAGGCCACTGTTCGAATAGTCTTGTTTGTGCTCAAAATTACTGTGGTGATGATTTATTGGGGATACAAATCAAAATGTAGCACCTTTGGTTATAGCCTATGTTATTAGCCCTTCTTCAACCTCATCTACCTTTCCTGCTCTTACCTTTCCCCAGTTGAATGCTCCACTGCCTCCCAGTGCTATTGCAGTCTATTAAAAGAGAAATGTACACCCTCCATGCAGGGTTACCATATCCACTGTATTACAACAGGGTGTTGACAGATTTTTGAAGTTCATTAACTTGGTGGATCCAAATTCCTGCCAGCATCTGAGGCCATGAAGTCGCAATCAAGTCAGCCTTCGAGAGAGAAATATTGCAGCTCAAGTCTAAATCCCAACATTCATATAAAAAAGCCATCATTTGAATGTTCATTTAAAAACGATGATGCACACAGGAGATCAATAAAAGGCACTGCATTAGCAAGTGCCTCTGCTGTTAAGTGCTTTCTTTAAAACATTTAATCACTCCACAATGTAAGTGCCTCTTTGGTCAAAGTTTGCATTTAAAACCCTACACGGAAGGAACAGAGCATTTCCTAAGAACAGACAATGAAGACTAAGTTATTTTACAGTCCTCGCTTATCTGATATTGATTTGAAGAAAGATAGCAGATTTTTGTAAACAAAACTGAGAGCAATGCCACCTAAGACATTTTACCTTCCAGATTTGAGCCGTGTTGCCCCCTGAAGAGGTCAATTTCATGCCTCATCCGGCTTGAGAGAATTTACAGCTTCCTTGGTTACAAGCTACCACTGCTCTTGAATACAAGGAGCCCGACTCTGTTCCTCGCCTGTTGCCTTCTGCTTTGCGGGAGAGCAGATTATTCACTGTGTTGACACCGCAGTAGTCTTTGACCTTTGAATGCTAAAGCTTTCAACATCCTGCCATTTGAAAACCTGACCAGCCGCGACCTCTGACTGTGACTGAGACATATATGATGGCTCCAACACAGCTTTGAAATTCCTGGCAACCACTGTGCAGTATGTGGTCTGTAATTGTCGCTGTGCTGTCACTTGAACAGCTATGGACCAAACCACACCAAGAAAGCTGGAAAAGGAAGGTCTTCGCCTCCGAGGACGTTATCAAAATGGTAAATGGAAAATCAAATGGTCCAAAACTAAAAGACAACAATAACCCTTTCTTTTCTTTGATCTGATGATCTGATTTAGCTGAACTAAAGGTGTGAAAGCAACCTGAACATGTGGCAGACTTACTGTGACAGACAGAGTCACTGGTTGGTGTGCACACAGACATCTCTATCTCAATGCCCTCATCACAGATGGTGCAGGGCAAGCAGGGGTCGAGGGAGCTTTCCCGGTCAGAGAAGGTATCGTCCACGCACTCCTCACACACCGTGTCGTGATCGTGTTCGCAGTGTGCATACACACCCTGGCCTGCCGGACACACCGTACATGGCTCACAATGGTCTGATTTCCTGTCGAAGAAATAGTTGTAGTTGCAGACGCAGATGGCATCGTTGGAGTCGGTGCAGGGTGTCTCCATCCGCATCAGACCGGTACACTGAGTGCAGGGACTGCATTTCTCTGTGAGACTGTAGTTCTCTGAGAAGGTCTCACCTGCAGAGGAGAGGACAGGTCGAAGGCGAGACAGAAAAGTGAGAGGGAGGAAATGAGAGAAGGGGCAAAGAGTAAAGGAGGTTAGAAGATGGAGAAAGCAGGAAATACGAGGAGATAAACAGGGGGATAAACAGTGAGTCTAATGACATTAATCATGTTTACTGCACATTCATTAGAAGGGAGGACACATTGATCCACTGGGCTCTTAGTGATTTGTGCTCCGGGACAAGAAAGGTGCTCTTGTTGGGGAGCGAGTCAAAAGCCTGCTGTGCTCATTACGATATCGATCCCAATGTGTTTGTGCTGCGCTGAGTAAACTGCTTTAATCTCAGTTATACACACAGAGTGAAGAGCAGGTGCATTGACGTGCTTAGATTGATCCAGAGATGATAAAAACCTGCATTTAAAAGTGATCAAGCTATCACTTGGGTATATTTAACGGCTTTAGAGGGATTTAACGAGTCATTCTGCCAATGAGGGAAATTTATCGGATGCTTGAATACATTTTTCATTCAAGTAGCTTGAGCTAAACTCATCTATAAACATACATTTAATCTTGGATCATCATAATATAATTTATAAAGATTTATTCATTGCTTAAACTTACTATTAGTTTTTAACTGGTTCATTTAATACTGATGCCTCTATATGATGCCTCAAAAATTCTACTGTTGTTAAAACCATTCATACAATAGATAAACATTTGTAAAAATTATATTTTACATTGCTAATCTGCTAATAGTATAATAATAATTAGTAATTCTATAAAATAAAAATAAAAAATTAATTAGGACCAATAACAACCTGAAACAGTGTTTTGCTTATGATTGGTTATGCTTATGTCTGTCATTTTAGTTAGCATGCTAACATGCTCACAATGACAATACAAGGGTGCTGATGATTAGCAGGTGTAATGTTTATCCTTGTCACTATCTAAGTTTAGAGTGTTAAATAAGAGATAGCAGACCACAGCTGAGTTGTGGAGAACAACGTTGAACAGAATGGGGTAAAAGCGGAGCTGACTAATTGCCTGCTGCTTTTCAATTACTTCAAACACTTCAGATTTACTCTCCTGGAATGTTTGCATCAGGAAGATTTGGGAGAGTTCATCGCCGAGGAAGTGATGACCTCAAATTAGCTTATTCTTTCATTGATAGTTCCTATGGGCACAAAGTAATCTATTAATATTGCATGTTCATATAGAATTATTTTCAGATATAATTGGATGTCTGCTGAATTATGCATGCAGTAAGAGAGGGGGGTCTGTGAGTGTACAAGTATGTTTTAGTGGTTGAATCAAATGGGTGTGGAGTCAAGAGGCTGAAAAAATGTACAGCTCAGATTCGCCACTGAGGCACTATTCTCCAAATCCCATTTTACTTTTTTCATGGCGTGTTTAAACATGAGAGCGGTCACCTTGCAAGAGCTGCAGTTCAGACAGAAACGACACAATGTGTGACGTTTTGCTCCCTGCTGCATACTGAAAACATTACAGGGGTGGCAGAGTGCAGCAGGAAGTTTATCATCCATCCATCCAGCACAAACACTTCACAAAATGAGATTATGAGTCAAGAATGTAGATCAAAACAGCTTTGTAAATTCTTAAATTGACACCAGAGACTGCCTGTTTCACTCTTGATTTCACAAAATGAAGCATTCAGCACGTTAACATTGGTTTAAACTTGTCTTGGTGGTTAATTGCTCTTTGTCTTACAATGAAATAAATCATTGGAATTGGGTGTAACTCTAAATAAAGCCACATGGATGTGTAGGACTTTTGCGCAACTCCTATCTGCATATGCATATGTCTGTGTGTGTGTGTGCTTTTCATGAGAACTGCTTAGTGGGTGTCGTGTTGAGCAACAGCATATTGTTAGTGTGAAAAGCCCTGCAGCAATGTCCCAGCACTTGCTTTGCACTGTAAGCTTCTCTGGCAAGTAAACACTGGCACAGACTGAAGCTCTAAACACCTTGTAAACAGCAGCACAGCTAAGAAGCCGTAGATGAAGGTTGTCACATTATACTGGCAGACTGAGTGGAGCAGACGGAGGTAATGATTTAGAGACAGGTAGGGAGGAGGCAGAAAGACGGATCAACAAGCTCAATAAGCAGGACTGGTCGCTCGATTGAATCTCAGTCTTCGAGGGTGGTCTGGTGAGTCCAACCTGAGTCTCTGGAGTCTCAAAAACATGATTTAGAGACCAAAGTGTTGAGGAAGTGAGGATGTACGACTGGAAGGGGAAGGGTCAGGGGAAATGAGGCAGTCGGGGATATAAGTGAGTTTAGTTTCCTCCTTGGATATACACATACACCGTCAGATTCAGTGTTTTTTCTTTTCTCTATCTGTCATCACCCCTTGCTCTTATTACTGTCTAGAGGCAGGAGTGGTAAAAGAGAGAGTGACACTGACTGAACAACCCAGGCCTGGACATATAACAGACCTCAGAGGTAAACGATTATTTGAATTTGTGAGCTTGAAGCTTTTGTTTTCTTTGCAGTCAGGCTCAACCGGGACTGCTCTGCTCATTCATTTCAATTATCCCACAGTGCGCAGGCTTCCTTGCTAATTTTAACTTGCATGCTTGAGCCCCTTTCCAGCCCTTGTGTGTAAACACATCTAAACACGACCATATGCACCGAGTGTTCAACAGGCACCGGAGAGGAGTGTATGCTTTGTGCGTGTGTGTCTAATCTATGTGTCAGCTCTTAAATCTGGGAGCTAAAAAAAGAAAGAAAGCGAAAGGCCATCAAGAATCAGGTGGAAAGTGTCTTTAATAAAATATGATCCTTTTTTCTAATTGTCCCCAATTGAGCGACGATCAGCACATCCCAGCAATCACTTTTCATGTTGGCAGTAAAAACGGCTATTGGTAAAGAGAGATGTGTCTGTGTACGGGGGGATGATGCACTTAAAATGTGCCACTTCAGCCCATGACGACCACCCCTCTCCAAACAGTGATGTGCTTCAGTCCCATTAGTGTCATCAATAATGTAGCTCTCAACGGCCATGAAACTACCCGATGATCTCCACAATCAGCACTTTAGGTGTAAGCTTTTAGCGAGGACAGCCCACGGCACTTTCTCACAGCGTGTCATGGGCCACGTTTCAGTGGAGACACCATTTTCTTACTAACCCGTTGCTGACTGTGGATAGATTACCAACATTTGGAAAGCTGCGTGATGGCTCTATTTGTCTTTTTGAACATGCACGTGTATAATTATCACCCCACTTCATTGGTCCACTTAGCTTCCCTCCTGATTTGAAACAGGTGTTTTAGGATATTACCAAAGCTGTTATTAAGAGACCGAAGGGGGAAAGTTCTATTTTAACAATCAACAGTCACTCTTGTATCAAGTGCTAAGCTTTTGTTCTTTGCCTTGTTGGGGTGCCATGTAGAGAAGAAGCTTTCTCCACAGCCACAGTGGACCTGCCAGATGACAATCTTCATTTCCCCTTTCCTCATCCCTCATGATCCAGTGTTGGAAGCGTTTCTTGTTGCTCTGTTTCAGCCTTCACCAGACGAGGCTGTGATTCTACTTTCCTTCCTCCTTTAAATCCCCAGTGATCCCCGTTCCAGTCGGCCAGCGGGGCTCTTCTTAAACGCTACATTGACTCGTGCCTTTTTTCTCTCAGATCTTCAGTCAGTTTGCAGGGCAAGTTTTTGTGAATGGTTCACTAAGTGAGGCTGGTCCGGTTGTCTTGTCTCCCATGACAGCAGAGAAAAGTGGAGGAGACTGCTAAATATTTCAGCACTGCTGACGCTGGCACTCGTCCCGAACTGGGATAGGGAGGCCATGAAGAAGGGGGAGAGGGGGTTATACTGACAGGAAGTGGGGAATTAAGGGGGGGGTCATTGTAAATAAAGATTCACCATGAAACAGGAAATAGATGTGTTGAATTTTTCTCTTTAATTATTAATTTCTGCACTTTAGCAAATGTATTTATAGGTTTAGTTTTTCAGGGAAGGTCAGTGTTTCAGCCTTTGACTCCTACTCCGACTTATTTTGGTGTATGTGCCTCTGTGGGCTTCAGGTACATTAAGATTTCATCTGCTGAAACAATATTGAAACCAATGAAAATGCATTCGCACCAGAAATTAAGTGCAACCTCCTGGGTATTTGGGCTTAATTGTTGAGTGTTTATCAGCGGTGAATACCGTTCCTGTACTGCAGAGCAAGATAATTGTTCACTGTTAGAGGCACAATAGGCTTTTCAATATGGTTTAATTAGCTGGATCAAATGAGTAAAGATGCACTGATGTAACAGTATGCATGATGAATGAGCAGATCGTGCCCTTTGGTGCCTGGTTCTCTAATACCATTTTATTCGCTAATACAGACGATGAGTCATAGTAACAGGGAGGAGGAGGAGGGGGATGCTGGGTGAGAAAAGCGAGTACAGGATGGAGAAAGAGGAGACACGACAAGAGTTGGTGGGATTCGCTGGTGTGGAGGGGTGGGGGATGAGGGGGTGAACGAAAAAAAAAAAACCTCATCAGAAGCACAGTCCTGAGGGCCAGCCCACATTATAGGAAAATGGAGCTGCGGTTTACCATCTATGCATCGCTTGCCGCTGTTTACGGCAGCAATATGAAAAGGAATATGACGTGCAAGACAAATTCCTCCTGACGTCAAACTAAAGATAAAGTCCAGGCGCTCGTGGGGCTGCAACATGTTCCTCTACAGACTCCAGGCACCTCCACTCAGCTAATTTCCTGCTCCAGTCTGTCATCTGCAACGTTGGATGATGACTATTAATTACCCTTCTTACTCACTCTCCGTATACTGTGTGACTGGGTTTTTAATGACACTAATACAAAAGCAAAGAGAAGTCCACTTTATTTCTCTTTTATTTTTGCACACAAACACATTTTTGTCAATTCCACGCCACTACCTTTTCTAACATTGACTTTGTTTGACAGAGTTGGTTTATGTGAAATTGATTTGCAGTGCTTTATGCCTTTTTCTTTTAGCCTGTGGCACTGTTGCGCTCTAGATGCAGAGAACTGACGCTGTGCCCCTGCACCCATTGTTGCAGCTCTGTAGTTCCTCCAGGCGAAGAATAAAGACTTAAAAGGGGCAAAACCAGCCAGAGTTGAGATTCTTAATAACGTAACACAACACAGAGATTAGCATCTGTTGTGCAAAGAAGTTCACAAGTTCAAGAGTATCAATTTTCTTTGGACAAAAAACATTCCTGCCAGTCTGCAACTCTTTCAGAATTTAATTATTTCCCTCAAAATGTCATCCAGTGGATATCACTGTGTTCTGTTTTGCACAAGAGAAGGTTTTCGGTGTTGGAATACTCTGTTTACATGCACCATTTGCTAGTGCTTACATGTGTCTGAATGGATTAATGCAGTCAAACCATGTTCGGGGCACTGTAAACGTCCAAACAGGGCTAATTTGGGATTGTCGGACACAAAGTCTCAAACTGCCACAATTAACGTGTGCATGTACATTTAAAAGGTAAGGAAACGTACCACTGCAGAGTGCCATTGCATCTATCTCGTCACAATTCTTCGGCTCCTCCTCATCTATGCTGCGATGCTCCTGACCTATACTTTGACGTTTACTTAGCGCTCTGACATACACCGACATCTTAAAGGGCAAAAAGAGCTGCAGGAATGTGACGCAGAGAGACCCTGAATCAAGAAGAACGCATTTGTTTGCAGCATTGGCTCTTGTTCTCCGTGATGTTACGGTGTTGGCACCTCTCCCAGCTCTGGTCTGTAGAGCGAGTGCTAATGGTTCACAGCCTGAGTCGAGCTGCAACACATTTGGACCCACTTACAAGCATCAAACATATGAATTCCTGTCTTATTTTTTGGGACACTTGATAAAGGCAAAGCCGACACTTCATACAAATGAGGAAATTGGACAATAGGAGTTTGTTTTGGCTTTGACGTTCTTTTTGTTTGGAGTTCAGGGCCCGAGCTACCATTAAAGGCACAGAAAATGAAGCGGCTGTATAAATAAAGATGATGTAAGTGCAGAAATGCAGACATTGCATTAATCGGGTTTGAGTGTGTGTAATGCTGATGATGACACGCAGTTCTGCAGCTGTACATCAGTTTTAATGTCTATATACTGTGTTTGATTGTCTCCAGATTTAATTTTATCCCTATTATGTTTCAGGAAATAGAGTTTCCTCAAAGTCAAGTTTTGGCATTCTGGTGTTAAAAGTTAATTTAATCTATTAAAGGGTCAGTCCAGCCAAATGAATGACATAAATAAAACATTTTGACCTGATTGTGAGCAGATTGGAAGCACATTGTACCAACGATGAACGTTTGTGGAAAGATATATTGCGGTTGAGTTCATTTGAACAACTTATAAAACTTATGGTACATAAGAAATGAGACAATGTTTTGTTGACACTGTCTAATAAAGCACCTTATTACTTTATTTACCTGCAAAAATCAAGTGAGATGATTTTACTTATTTGTAAAGTAAATAAACTTAGTTCCAATATTTTACTGAATAAAACTACAGATGTTTTATACTCAAATTGAGCTCACGCTAACATTTAGGAGAAAAAATAATTTGTTTGAACTGACAATTTGCAAAACAAACTTTAGAGGTAACTTGTGAATAAAATGTACTGAATTAAATTAAATAACAATAAAAATCCCATTTGGCTGGTGTATGGTCCATTCTTCAATTTGGTGTCTCAAATCTGTGAGCTCATGTTTTATTTGCTCTGGCAGATGTGTCTGGCCAACCTTCCTTTCAGACATATTTCCACCAGTCCTGGATCTGGTCGGGCTGATCACAATCTTTTATCTAATATGGGACGGGTTTTATACGATGATGCTACATCATACATTTTGTTGCTCTGATGGTTGCATTAAATTGCATCATGAGGCATTTTGGTCTGCGCCCATTGATGGAAATGAAAAATTAACTGAGAGGATGTGTATTAGTCTGGTGAAGCCAGACTATCTCTTTCTAATAAGCCATCAAGTCTGCAATAAGTCATTAAAGGGTATGTGCAATATTTCATTCAGTCTGTGGTTGTAAAAATAGTTATTATACAGTGGTAACAATGTTTTCTTTTTATTTGATTTGCATGTACAAATATACAATTAAAAATCTCTACTCACTGTCCGAACACTGGGCACAAACTGTCTGCTTAGCGCCGCATTCCTTCACCACTCCCTCTCCAGGCGGACACTCCTGGCAGCATTCTCCACTTCTGGTGTACTGGCCGGAGTCACAGGGGACCTGCACCGCTCGCTCCGTCTTAGATGCCGACACTAACACCACCTGGCACACCGGGACAGTGGTACAGAACATCAGAGCAGCACACAGAGAGAGCAAACTTTCACACATATACAAACACACACAGCACACACAGGGCCACTGTTAAACATACACAGCAAAACAAATTGATGAAAATTGCTGCCAGGTGTCCAACCTGTTCCTTAAATCCAACCGCTATCAGGATTCATCATAAATCATGTTGTCTCCACCTATATTAGACACACTTTGAACAAGGCAGTCGTCTAAACTGCCTTAATAGCTCCCCTGAAGGCACATCAGCTCTAATAGTAAACTTATGACACGCTCCAGCCGAGGCAGTTACCATAAAATCATGTGTGCACAACATTATACACATGCCCGTCCTAATTACTGTCTAAAGGTGAGACGAGCTGTGAACGTCAACCTCTGCTTCCGATCTGCACTGGCACACACACAAACACGTACTTCTACTCCTATACTTGCGAGGACTTTTTATGGGAATAATGCAGCAGTCCAAAAATGTCCTCAAGGCAAAACTCAAATTGGTTCTCACAAAGACAGAGACACTGTTTTTTGTCATTTAGGAGGACATTGTGTTGACTTACCCAAACTGTAACCAAAAACCATGTCTTAATAGTACAATTTAATGGTTTATCGTCAATGGGGGGGTTACGAAAAGGGAGATCCCCAAAATGTAAAGATTTTGGTTCCCAGGCAATAAATAGTACACATACACACTTTTCTTCTGCAAAGCAAACTTCACTCTCACTGCAGAGGCTGTTGTTGCAAATTTGATAGGAAAACTCTTTTCATTTGCATCTTCCTAATTTGCATAGCAATCACATTTTAAAATATATTTATATATATTGAAGCTTTTTTATGCCTTCATTGGTTAGGACAGCTCATGATAAGACAGGAAAGGGGAGAGACAGGGGATGACACGCAGCAAAGGGCCTCAGGTTAGACCCAAACCCATTGCCTGCAGCAAGGACTCAGCCCCAGCACATGAGGCACCAGCTCCACCAGGAGAGTGGTAGACATTTTATTTCCTTAAATACCTGCAGCATGCAGCTATTGTTCTGTTTCCAGGTATTTCCATACATGGTTTGGTTTAAGTTTGAAGTACTTCTCCCTCATCCAGTCTGATTAATCTACTCCAGTTATCACCTTCTTGTTCTCCCTCCTTCTCTTGTTGCATTTCCTCAGTCCTCTCTGATATAAATGCCATGCAGCTCCACTGGCGAAAGAACTGAGGCTTGTTCCACTGGTGTGTATACAACAGTGTTAAATAAGAGGAATTCATATCCAGACATTTTATAACAAATAAAATCATTATACTGAAACACTTTCATGTCTTGTGGCTCTTATTATTTCCACTTAATTCACATTTGCTGAGACATCAATTAAATCTTTCCTGTCTTTCTCTCTCTCATTCGTCTCTCCCCTCCCCTCTCTCCTCTCTCTGCTGTCCCTGCTTTCATTCAGAAACAGATGTACTGAGCAGCCAGCAGCTTCTCTCTCTCTCTCTCTCTCTCTCTCGCTCTCGATCCTCTTGCTCAATATGTCATTCTACTTTTGGCTCTTGATGTGCTTTCCATTTCTCCTGACTTTACAACCTGTTATCTCTACGTTTCTGCACAAATCTCAGCTCTTATTTGTGTATATTATCACGGTTAAAGGTATGTTTATGTCTGCAAAAATGAACTTTGAATGCAGCCCAAAACCTCAAGAGGGTTCCCTCCTGTATCTGCAGAGGAAAGATTCATATCCCTGACTGCTGCACCAGCCCCCTTTCCTGTGACATCTCCCTGGAATATCACTCAGCTCAAACACAGATTACAGGCAAAAATCAGTGGGAAAATTTGTTCACCAGCAGCAGGAACATACATCCGTACACGCACTCACAAAAAGAAACGTACGCTGACCCAGCTGTGATATGCTTGGTTTGTACTCTCCCCAATTTCATGGTCAATTTGAGAGTTTATTTCTAAATTTAATTCTACCAAAGTGCACCGACCGTCGCCACCCTTTAAACCAGCTGTCATAACAGTGTCCCCTCACGTCCAGGACTGCTCACATGATGACTGAGCTGCACAGCCCAATTAGACCAGCTGTTGTGGACATACCAGAGCGCTGGGAGGATGTACCCTCTGCTCTGTGCTTTATCACGACTGTCCTCCATAATCAACTTTTTCACATTATCAGAAGAGCCTCATGTTTTGTGTCAAAATAGCACAAAAGATTTATAGCTCATGTTGGATAAGAATTTAATGAATCAATTTACTTTACATAAGCTGCAGCATCTTTATCTCCTCTTATTTTAAAACCCAAATTAACTAAAAATTAGAAATTACTTCCACTCAGTAATGCTATTAAAGTCTGGGCCAAGGCGGATATCAGTAGACTGCTCCTAAATGTCTGGATGCAGCCAAATGTGAAACAGAAATCTCAATTCTCCAGAAACTAATCCGAGCAGGGCTGCCTAACTTAAAACCAAGAGGGAGCTGTGTGTGTGTGTGTCTGTGTGTGTGTCTGTGTGTGTCTGTGTGTGTGTGTGTGTGTGTGTGTGTGTAGGGGCATGTGTATGTGTGTAGCTAGAGGGGATATAGTATAACCTGGGTATAATATTATCTATATATTTTTTTTTTGAGGGAAACACCACAGCAGTGACACAGTATCTATTTAAACCCTGCTCATAATATCAGAGAAATGTCACAGGCATCACAAAATGGATTATAAAAAGCTCTGAAGTCAAGAAAAACTCACTACAGAAGTCCCAGCAGGATTGTAAATTAGCAATATCATAGAGAAAGGTCTCTATAAAATCTTCACACAAATTAAGCTCCAATGGGGATATTACAAGCATCACATAAAAACATCACTGAGAGGAGAGCTTAAAAAATAATATCACAAAGTGCAATAGGGGCACTACAAACTCTTCTGCAGAGTAATAAAGCAGCATTCTGAGAATATTACAGCAACACACAGTAGTTTCTGTACAGACTACTCACCAAAGCGCACAAAATCACCAGCGATAAGGTAGTAGTCATCCTGCGTCGCCTGCTGGAGTCACATAAAACAGATCTTGTGCAGAGAAGGCAGCGCTATGTGGAGGAGGAGGAGGAGGAGGAGGAGGAGGAGGAGGAGAGCCGCTCAGCGGGAGTGCTCATTTTAATTCCAGCGGCACGGATTTTATCAATGAGTCCGCACCATCACGCGTCTTTCCGGGACCTCTGGGCTGGAGTCAGATGCGACTGTCGGTGCACCCCTCAGCACCACCAACACACACAGAGATGAAGAAGAAGAAGAGGAGGAGGAAGAGGAGGAGGAGAAGACCGTCCTGTCCGGAGTGCTGCTCAGCTGCAAGTGCACTGCGGAGGAGGAGGCGAGAGGAGAGGAGAAGAGAGAGGGGGCACGTCCACCCTCCAGTTTATTACCCCTGATACTTCTGCAGTAAGACTATACAACCTGCTCCTCTCTCTCTCTCTCTCTCTCTCTCTCTCTCTCTCTCTCTCTCTCTCTCTCTCTCGCTTTAATCTCACGTGAGGTCTGATTCAATTCAAAAGTGACATAAAAATGATTTACATTTATTGTAACAGCATTATTTTCTGACACATTACACCCCCTACACATCTCTCCAGTTAGTGACATATAATGTGGCCAAAAGTATATAGACACCCCTGTTCAAGCACTTTTATGCCACTTTTTGGTCTGGAGCTGTGTTTCAGGTGTTGGGTGTGTCCCATTCCTCCCAGTTTAAGGGGAATCTGAATGCAACAGCTCACTGTAAAAAAACAATTTGGGGCAACATTTTGGGGAAAACCCTGTTTCAATATGAGAGCCCCCTCATATACACAAAGCCAGGTCCATGCTTGCTGTGGAAGAACCGGATCAGACTGCACAGACCTCAACCCCATCTGACACCTTTGTGATGAACTGGGACGTCGACTGTGTTGGACCACCCTAATGCTCTTTAAGACCCTGAGAGAGGAGGCTGTTATGGCACAGAAAGTGTCCACATACTTTTGGCTATATCTCTATGACATAATCTAAATGAATTGCTGTTGACACTTTGCCAGAGGCTATAGTTTGTGCTGTTGTTGTGCTGCGTTGCATTATCTTGACGTGTGTTCCTAATATTCTTTTCTACTCCACATATGCAAATGGGGCTCTGAAAATATTAGAAACACCTTTCCATAAAATGCGCTCCAAGACAAGACCACAACAGTACAGGCTTAAAACTTGTCCTCAGAACTGGGTCAACACACAAATAACTAAATAAACCTCAAGGACTGCAGGGATAACAGGTGTTTCTATTTTTCTACTTTTTTACTCTCCATATCTGATGAATCTGTTGTACAAAATCTTGCTTTTTAAAACAACTTTGTGATGTTATGTTGCAAAACAAATGCATGTGTGTCTAATTACTAATTACTAAGCAACATCCAAGTCCAGTCAATGCATTACAAGGAACATTATCATTGTGTACCACAAGAGGGCGACTCAGCTGAGCTGAGATCAGCAGCAGCTCACACATTCTGTGTAATGATCTTGAGCTTAACAATGAAGGATGAGGTTGTTCTTCCCCCAAAGAGGAATCACTTCACAGAGGGATGTGCGCTGTGAAAAGGCTTCATTTTCACTGATCTCAGGTTTCACATGACACTTTCATACTACAACACAATTTAGCACTGTGCATTCAAAAGCTGCCTCCTTTGAAACATGTGTTCCAGAACTGTACTGTGAATTAATGGTGCTCTCAAAAGTGAGAAATATTATCCTTCATCCTTTTTAAAACAAGACATTTATTTTAATTTTCTTCTTTTTAGAGATGTTTGAATGGTATTCTATTCTATTAATTCTAGTAATTGTATGTTTCATGACACACTGTACACAGTATTGTACTGTTTTTCTGGAAATCTGCTGAACATGTTAAGGTTCATTAAGGGTTCGAATCACACAAATCCATTAAGCTCTGCCTGCTGCATTTCAGGTACTTTTTTATTTTTTATGATCAAGATGATACTAAATTTGGTGCGACCACTCCAAAACCACTAATGCACGTCTAAACATTGTAATTGTGTTTGATGCACATTGAGGTACTTAGCCTTTATGCGTAAGGAAAATCAGTGCTGATGGATATTGATCCAAGACAATGTGACGATGAAGCAGCTGTAGTCACCAAAAAAGTGGACAGTTTTATCTGCGTCCAACCTTTTCCCCCAATCTCCTCCCTGTAAAATCCTCCTGACCCTGCCACTTCCACCTTCTCCACACTGATCATCAGCTCAGGGGGGCGCAGAGGCCAGTGCCCCTGAAGAAGCTGCAGCAGCAGCAGCAGCCACAAGGTGATTTAGTTACACTGTTGAGATCCGAATGCTCTCCAGTATTGATCTTGGAACACATCAATTTTCCCACTTCCTACATCCTCCTTTGAGATCACCCCTGCAGCACCTCTGACTAACCCCCATTCTGATGACTCTGACAGCACTCTTCTCCATCAATACAGTCTTCTTTGATATTGTATTCACATGTCAAGTCCTTTGAATGCAGTATTTAGTGTCCCTAATCACCACAGTCTGGGTAAAGCCAGTGTCAACTACCTGCACACCAGTAGTCGATGATGAGCTGCAGCTCTGACACGTCTATCAATAAATGATAATAATTAATACAAACACTCTCCAGCCATGTTGTTGATATTGTTTGATTCCAACAACAGTGTAACAGAGATGTAGTACAAATCTAGGCTGAAATGTATCCAACAGCCAGAAATAGAAAAATGTCCTCTGAATGTGAGCTCTATTAGTAGTGTTATGGATATATGGATATGTGCTGACAGAGTCTTTGGTAGGATACATGTATTTTTCTCTGAGTGTATCACATTTCCAGCCATATGACTGGTCAGCAAAAGGAAATGTCATGTCAGTCTGCAAGGTCACTAATAAAATACAATCTTGATGAAGATAACTTGCCACCCGGCCACAGTGGGCAACTCAAGGGCAGCACCACATGAAGTTCCCTGAAACTGTTATTTTGTACTGAAATGTCTTATATGTGATGATCATCTGATGAACGTAACTCTGTGTTTACATCCATGATGCTTGTTGCTCTAATGCAGTCACAGTGGATGGACAATGTCTCTCAAATATCAAACTTTTTTTATGTGAAGATGAAACCATATTATCATCTCTATCTTGTTGCTGCTGTTTACGTTCCCCGTAGACCCAAATTCAAATTATACTGCAGAATTATTTCCTGAGTGTATGAGTGTATGTATTTATATATTGTTTTATTATGTATTTATTTGTTTTGTTTTGTAATAAAAATGTAATTATCTTTTTCTATGTGTGTAGCATGAAGGGTAAAATATATGCAACAACATTAAGTCTAAAAAAGGTCTAAAAACTTTAATCTTCATTTAAAGGCCCAGTTTGTAACATTTATTTATTCATCTATTGGCAGAAATGTATTTGTGTATAATAAAATAAGAATTGTTATGTTCTTGTTATCTTACAATGAGCCTTTTATCTACAGACGCATGTTGAACCGCCATGTTTCTACAGTAAGCCAGAACAGACAAACCAAACACTGGCATTTGTCAAGTTTCAAGGCCACAATAGTTTCTCCTTCGTGCTTAAGTGCAATATGAAACTATAGATGCCACTAAATCCTATACACTGGCTCTTTAACATTTTCTATATGTGTCTATTGTGCCACCAGTCGTTTTGTTTTGGGGTTTTTTTGTTTACTGCTTACCAAGCTAGCATTATACTATCTGTCTTTTTGTGTTGCTAATACAACATTCTGTTGATTTACTGTCGGGTTAACTGTTTTGTTTTACTTTGTATTTTACTCAACAAGTTACATTTTATGAACCATAGAAGCGCTTTGTTCTGACACGCTTATCAACAAAACTATATGAATAAGTGGAGGAACCTTCATCGTCATGGTGACAGTAATAAACACTGCAACTGGACCTCCTCCCAATTCACTTTGTTGTGCTATAATAACATCACAACTTCCTCTTTTGCTCCGTCTTAATTCCTGCAGTTTGTCACTTGTCACAACGTTTCATTGTCTAGTCTATGTGTGCTTATTTATACTTTATAGTGCAGTACATTTAAAATGTGTCAATGGGTGTTTAGGCTACTTGTGAACGACTAATTTCCATCTCTTTCTGATGGACAATAAAGTTTTTCTGATTGTCATTCAGATTCTTAACCTGTACAATAAAACTGTGTATTTTTTTTGGCCAATACATTGTTTTGTTAGACGTGAAAATGCCTGCAGATAGCACAAGGATTTGGACACATTGTTTAGGCAGGGTACCGCAGCATGTTGCATTTGAAACAAACAAAGACTTAAAGTAATTACTCTCAGCTTTAAGGGTCTTTGAAGGTTTTCACATCCATGGTGGATGAACAGTGTAGAAATTGTAGGCCTTTATATACATATTCCCTCTAATCCTTGAGTTCAATTCATATACTCTTTTCCTCCAATTTAGGTGCAAGCGGCCGCAAATTTAAGTTGAGAGTCAGGTATTTATCCTGATCAGACTGGGTTTCTCTGGTCTGGTGGAACTCAAACGTGGTAGAAGGATTTTTGGTCATGCATGTAAAGAGCAGAAATGATCCACATAATCAATCACCTCTTGCTCGTTCACATCCTGATTGGAGAAGTAAGACAAATAACGTCCAGGTTAACACCACTTAAAAACGTGGCTAGAGATCTAAAGAAGTCAAGTATTCAAACTGGAGGAATGTACTGTAGTTCTTCTCTTTAATGCATCTTGCTGGACATAAAATACAGATGTTGTACTGTTTAGACACAGATAAGTCCAGTCAAGACACAACGATTCTCCTTTTGCAGTTTAAAGACAGCTTGAACCGGGTATGATGTTACGACAGTACAGTGATTTCTTGCCTTTGTGCAGTTGTGGTGACAGATCGGGGCTGATATAAGGGTCAGATGGCCACTGTATAAAGTTATGGCCCAGCATGCGTTGAGGGGAACCGCTGGGAGAGGCGTATTGAGTCGAGAGGGTGGACACCACATGTTTTGAAGAGTCTGCCAAGTAGAGGATAGAAAATCACCTGTGACTGGTTACACATCTAAAAACATGAATTATAGTTCCCGTTTAAAACAGAGGAGGAGATGCATTCACCCTTCACAAATCGTTTGCAAATATAAACCACAAAAAGTACGCGGACCGCTGGAGCTGAGCCAGAGCTGTAGGGGAATGTACACTTTTCTCCTGGCAGGCTGTCTTTACACTGTCATATTCATGGTTGGGGTTTTCTCCTCCTTGGTTAACTTAAAACTCTGAAAGATTGCCCACGTCCAGAATGTTAAGCTCAAATATCAGAGGTTCAAAGAGAAGAATAAAAATGGATTTTTAAGCAGATGATCCCATCAGAGTCATTTAACTGGTCTTGT